AAAAAAAAAAAAAAAAAGATTTCATTTTAGCCAGATATTGCAATCCACGCCTGTAATCCCAACACTTGGGAGGCTGAGGCAGGAGGCTCCCATGAGTCTGAGGCCAGCCTGGACTATATACATAGTGAGACTCTTTCTCAAAAAAAAAAAAAACGATTTAGATTTATGCACCGTCTTGAATCATTTTTTGTGTATGCTGTGAGGTGTTTTTTTAAAAAAAGAGAGAGGGGGCCGGGGAGATGGCTCAGTAGGATAAGCGCTTCCCTGGCAAGCGCAAGGGTCTGAGTTCAATCCCCGGTTCCACGAGAAAAAATAAAAAATAAATAAAAAAGAGAGAGGGTAGGAGGGAGGGGGAAACATCCTGTGGGAAATCCAAGGATGGTATCCTCAGCACTCTAGGACGCTGAGGCAGGAGGAGCAAAAGGTCAAGCCCAGCCTGAGCCACTTAACAATTTGAGAAAATGTAAACAGGTGGAGGATCTGGCTTAGTTGGGTTCCATCCTCAGAACTGCCCAGCAATGTGTGGAGTAGCTTCTTGATTTTTCAGGGGCCTCCCACATACACACACAAAATGTGGGCCAGGCCTCTGGTGGGCTGTGGCTGCTCTGGGCCTTGATTTCCTCATCCCTCACAGGAGGGGACCCACGCTGCTCCGAGGGTCGCAGGGAGAGCTCTCTCAGAGGATGCTCGCGGCGCTTGCACTGTGGCCAGCGGCAGGCGTGTGATCTCTGCTCTCCCTGTGAGTTCTGAGTTTAACAGGGAACCAGGTTAGGACTTCTTATTTCTGGTGTCCTTGTGCTTGGCAGGACCCAGAGTGTCAGTTACCAGGTCAGCAGGCGGAAAATGTCTTGGACATAGGGCAGCTAAGGGAGCCCCACTGCACCCTGGACAGCTGTGTGCAGCCCCTCGGAGATGACGCCACTGGGGAGGCTGGTGACCCACACATCAGCCCGCGGGAGGCTCTGCCCAAGCCTGCTGCAGGGGGACACGAGGACAGCTCCCAGGAAGCAATGTGCCCCTTGCGTATGGTGATGGCTGAGGAACACACAGCCACGTCCCTCTTGCTGTTATCCACACTGGGACTGAAAGGCCCCCAGCAAAGGTAAGTCACCCTCCCCTGCCATTCCCGGCCCTAGTTGCTCTTCCGCTAAGGTCAGGTGAGGCAAATTGAGGTCTGGCTGCCCCTGACTTGCTGACCTTGGGCAAGCTGTGCGGCTCTGGGCCTCAGTTTGCCCATCTGAATAATACCTTGAAAACCAGAATGCTGTTCTACAGTGTGGGAGGGAAGGGAGGCCCCGCTGGGATGAGAAGTCCATGGGGTGAGGCTAGGACAGTGGGCCTGAGAGTCCTGGGGGCTGCCAGGTGGGAGCAAGGGGCTCTCCCTGACCTTCAGCTCTTGCACCTCCTGACCCCCTCCCCTAGAGTCCTTCCTTCTCCTGGGGTTTCTGCCCTGTGTCAGAGTGAGACTGCCGAGACCCAGCCCGTACCAAGGCCTCTTCCTGCAACAGTGAGTAAGACTGGAGTGAGGACAGGTATGGGGTGGGAGGGACCCAAGGAGTCAGGGGAGACCAAAATGGCATGGTACTGGGATGTCAGAGAAGGAAGGGGGGTGAGTCCACGGGCATGAGTGCCCCCACGTCTACACACACGGTTCTGTGACACTCTGCATGCAGCCCGTGGGTCTGTCCCAGGGTGCAGCTTGTTCAACAAGCTTGGTTCCTTCTGCTTTCTGCCCTCAGCCCAGCCCACAGTGGCCTCAGGGGCCTTGAGCTTCTAGAAGCTTCCAGTAGCTGTCCCCCCTCTGCCAGCTCTGCCACTTCCTGGCTCTGACTCCACCCGAGCCACCTGCACACACACAGCTGGCCGGGTCATCGTCATGCCACTCCTGCACCTGTCCTGTCTCCACTGTGTCCCCGGGCAACACCCAGCCCTGACTGCCTGTACCCAGCCCCACGCTGAGCAGTTCAAGAGTCATCTGCTCCTGGCCATCCTCGGCTGTCCCCTAGCCTTCCCCCTCAGCTGCGGGGTGTCCTTGCACAGCAGTGTCCCAAGTACCTCACCTTCCTTGCCTCTTGTATCTTCGAAAGATGACAAGGATAAGCTGACAGGCACTAGGCCCAAAGCTGTTGCATTTATTGACCCCACAGTAGAAGCTGCGAACACGGCTGCTGATCCCCCACCTGCTGGCGAACCTCTTGTGTGTTAGATTCCACCCCACCCTCCCCGCACATGGCCCATCTCTCCATTTGTACAAAGTCATTCCCATCAGCGCAGGCACCCCACCATTCTGCTCTCTGCCCCTGCTCCCCTCTCCCATGGGCGCCTACTGCATTTTGTTGCTGTTGTTTTTTGGCAGTACCAGAAATCGAACCCAGGACCTTCACATTGAGCTATGTCTTCAGCCCTTTCTTAAAATTTTGAGCTACCACCTCATCAAGTTGTTAGATTTCTCAGGTTGAGATCGAACTTGCAGTTTTCCTGCCCCAGCCTCCAACAGCGCTGGGGTTTTAGGCATCAGCTTCAACGCTCAGTCTATGGTCCCCCTTCTTTGCTCGTTTTCTCAGTACGATGCCTCCAGAGTCTTCGCCATCCCTGGCCCTAGCCCAGCCCTGGGGCTCAGGGTGGCCCGGAGCTTTGGCAGCCTGGCATCCTGCAAGGGCCACAGGAGAGATCATGGCTGTGGAGCTGGACTCATGGCCACCTCTGAGGTCCCCACCATCACAATGCTGTGGAAGCCCCAGAACAGCAGTCCACATTCATTGGTGATGCTAGGGTTGAGACCCAGGGGGCTCTGCTATGGACCTACACCCCATTCCTGTTTAGTGTTGTGTTTTAAAATTCTATGTGAGTTCATGTTTGTAGTACATGATCATGTTCATCGTGGGAACTTGGTACATTCCACAGCTCCGTTTTACTTGCCCTCTCTCTCCATTTCTAGCTTCCTTCTTGTTAGCAAAAGATTTATCGCCTTGTTTCTTACAGTCCACCCTTTATTTTGGTCCTTTTTTTTGTGGAACTGGGAATTGAACTCAGACCCTTGCACTTGCCAGGGAAGCGCTTATTCCTCTGAGCCATCTCTCCCAGCCTCTTGGTCCTTTTTTTTTTTTTTTTTTTGAGACAGGGTCCCACTGTGCAGCCTATTCTGCCCTCAAACTCATAGAGATCGTCCTGCTGTAGCCTCCTGAGTGCTAGGATTATAGGCATGCACCACCCATGCCCAGCTATGTTATGCTTTAAATTATTTATACAGGCGCTGGAGAGATGGCGCAGTGGAATAAGCACTTGCCTGGCAAGCACAAGGGCCTGAGTTCAATCCC